CCCTCCTCTTCACGATGAGCTGCTCCCCCTGCACTCATTTCTCCACGCTCCGTTGATAGGACTAATCGGCTTTAGCTCTCGCACACACTTTTGCGATAAATAGTACCCGAAAAAAAAACCACGAAAAACACAGCGTGAAATAAAACATTTGATGTCGTGTTTCATTTCTTTTATTATTTTATTATAAACAATGAAAATTGTTTTCATTTGGCATATGCCAACGTCACCGGCTCGGCGGAGCTTTAAGCGCTTTTACAACGGTGGCGGCGGCATCAAAAGAGAAACACGGAGCAGCAAATGACGTTGTTAAACGCCCCGCACCGGCGGCACTGCACGCGCTTGAGGGGGGCACGTAACAGATACTTCTGTTGTAACGTATACCTCAATTCAAATTTCGTAAGGCGCCCAGCTACTTCGTCGCGTGTGGTGTCGCGGCGTCGCACAAACAACGGCTGATTATTTCGTCGTAATGTGGCGCACGCAAAATGATTAAAGTGTACATTAGTGGAAAAAAAGAAAACAATAAGGGTGGATTGTGCAAGGTGCACCTCCATCATAGGGGTGGTAGCAAATACTCAAGAGTCTCAATCTACTTTTTTTTGTACAAAGCCTTTACAGGTAAACGGCGATTTATAGGCACTCAAAAATATGCCGCTTGGAGGGCAAAAGTTTCGTGCATTACGGCATGTGGGTCCCGTAGACTTGCACTCCAAAAAATAGTTTCTTGAGTCAAGTGCAAGCTGACACAAGATGAAATTCACCATTGAAACAAGGCAATTTTGTCGTAGGAATAAGGTTTTTCTCTTATTCGAAAGAAAATATCAGGTTGTTTCAAGAGTAAATTTGATCTTGTGTCAACAAGAAAAATTGTACTTGAAACAAGAAACGATTTTTCTGGGTGTATAACAACAGTCAAAGTGAATAAAAGAAAAAGAAAATATATTTTTTAGAAATTTCGCGCGTAGATTCCAAGGTTATAATAATAATGACGTGTTATGCGCACTTATTTACAACTAATTTAAATTTTATGCTCATAGGTATCTAACATGGAGAAGAACTTAAATACTGTCCACACTGATAAACTAAGTGTTCAACTGCTCAACACTTGCAAGTGTGCAACTACAAGTTAAATACTTGCAGGTGTGCAACTGCAAGTTGAATACTTGCAAGTGTTCAACTCGGTAGGTGTGCACTTGCAAGTGTGCAACTCCTCGGTTGAGCACTTCCTACACAGTGAGCGCTCCATCTAAGGAAGTGTTCAACCGAGGATTTGCACACTTGCAAAGTGCACACCTACTGAGTTAAACACTTGGATGTGTACAACTATGGACTTGCACACTTGCAAGTATTCAACTTGCAGTTGCACACTTACAAGTGTTGAGCAGTTGAACACTTAGTTTATCAGTGCAGAATACTGAGGGGGTGTCTGCCCCGCTGCACGTGCCCCGCGTTGAGCACACTACACTTCGGGCCCACAGCAGGTTCCAGACAAATATACGGCCACTAAACATAATGTGCCAGTAATTTACTTGCAGATTCCCTTATAAGCGACGCAGCCCTCGGAGCAGCCAGCCCTCCCGGCCTTTGCCACGCGCCTTGCGTCCGCGGGAGCTATTTCGGGCTCTCTGGCGGGGGCTGGTGTGGTTGGTGGGTCAGCGATAAGGAAAAGCTTCTTCGTTTTCGCTTCATTTTTTTTATTTAGTTTTTATTTGGGCGATGCCGGGCGGCTGGGTCCTGCCTGCTGCTCGCGCGTGCCCTCCCCCGGGCCAGACGCGACGCGGGGTAATTCTCACGAGGATTTCCGAGTAGATCCTGCGGAGGACTTGGCCCTGCCCGCGTGGAAAGATTTACAGTTTAAAATACACTTGTGGACTGCAGCTGAACTTTTGCTAGAACCGTAGTGTGAGCATAGTATTTGTACTGAAGTAATGTTGGTATTTTACAAACACAAATGTAATTTAGAAGCACAATAAAAGTGCATACGAACTGCATCTGGCATCATGCACTTTAAGTGTAGTTATTTAATAGAAAACTATAGTTAAATGACAGTCAACTGCAGTTACACTGCAGTCAATCTAAAAAAAAAGTGTACAGATTTGGAACACTCCTCACTTTAACTGCAGTTTTCGGGCACTCTATCTAGAGATGTAAATATAGTTCGATCTACAAGTTGTCTGTGTTTCGGACTATAATTAAACTTAAGTGTCAAATGATTCTAAATCATAGTGTTAGAAATATCTTTTTCCCTCTCTGGGTCTTTCTTTCTCCCTCCTATTCAGTTATTTACCTCATATTGTTTCATTTCAGTTATTACCTCATAGTTATTACACTGGTTTTACCTCGGATGTCGACGGGAGTTGAACCTCGGACTTCGGAGTTGGGAGCCCGGTACGCTGACCACTGAGCCACTGCGACACGATAGCTCTGGTGCCGCAGTAACCTGGTGTCATGCCAAGGGTCCCGGCCCGTCGGCCTACTTGTCTAACTACAGTTTAACTACAGTTTCTCTGTAATTCAACTGTGGCAGTTTGGAGTTCCCTAGCCTTGTCCGTTTTTTTTTTTTCGTGAATAAACCCGTTTATAATAATAACGTCCTCTTCCCTGGTCGATATCACGAATAACAGAACTTTGCCTCTAGTAAAGCGATTCTTAACCGGGAAGCAGAAATTTTGTTGGCGTTAGGGTGAGGTACTTGGGTAGCGACCCCGCTCGCTAAGGGACATATTTCTGCTGTACGCATACGGAGGAACCACCGGTTGTTTGGCAGGACTAAGGCAGGTAGGCCCTCGGAAGGGCGCGACGTAAAACCCCACCGACCAAGGAATCGACAAACTCATCGCACAGGTGAAGCAAAGAGGGAGTACTGTCGGTAAAAAGACGTTCTGAGTGTACGTTGTCACATAAAGTCTACTTGTATTTTAAGTGCAACATATGCACAGTTCAAAACTGTAAACTATATTTGCGGTTTTCAGTCTAAGATAACAATAGTCTGATTGAAATATAACTGAAAAAATAACTGCTTTGATGAATTGCAGCAGTATTAAAGTCTGAAGTATTGCAGTTTTATACTTGAAAATTATGTTTAAGCGCAGTTTGTAACACGAAAATGAAATTCATTCGTAAGACTCAAATATCTGTTCTAAGACTGTACTTATAACTACAGTTTCAACTTGTAGAGCGCAATGCAGTCAACATTGTGAATGTAAAAGCAGTGTGACTGCTGTCATTATATAAATGGAATTACGGAACAATTAAGAGTTAAGAGATGCAGAATGACTACAGTTAACCTATAGTTTCAGATAGTATATCGCAACTGCAGTTCGATGTCTACAGTTTTAACTACAGTCATAATGCACATCCTTCCACGCGGGTGCCGTGAACAACGCGTGTACGTGTAGGAAGAGATGGACTGTGTGTGTGTGCGCGCGCGCGTGCGTGTGTGTGTGCACTTGTGTGTGCGAGCGCGCTGGGAGAGAGACTATGCACATGTGTTCATGTACAAATATATACATGTGCTAGTATGTGTGTTGTTGGTCGCGTTTCTACCACATATTTTGTTTTCCCTTCGCCGTGCCGCGCGGCGGGAGAGCGGCGTGGCTTTAGGGTCGTTTGTAACACACACGCCGCCGTATAAGAAGAATACACGCCACGCGTGAGGTGTTTCGATTAGGCCTACGCGCGTTTTTTTTTTATTCTCCTCACTCGGCGTAAGTGTTCGCTAAATTATTGGTGTGCGTAAGGAAAACAAGGCCGAGGCAAAACGAAAATAAATTGTTCTGGCGCCGAGAAAAGGTGGCTGCTTGGCTGGCTGCTCGTCCTATACTTATCGTTGTTGGAGTCCCTCCCCCACCCCCAACCCAGTGAGGACTCTACTTTAGCACTATCATAGTTGGAATCAAATTATGATATCAAAACTTACCCTTCAGCAAGTCCTACACTGGAAAGATTTTTTAAAGGATGCTATCTGCAAGGGTAGATACCCGGCAGGTACTAACTAAAACATTAAACGTCATATGAGTGTTCAGTCTAGTGGATTTGACAACATTAGAGTCCACATTATCGGCATTGGGGTTATTGTTATTTTAAATAATTATACTGAATCAGTACGATGTGTATAGTTCCCCTAAAAAAACGACTTTTGGGACACAAGTTAATCATTCAAAGAAAAGAAAAGAAAAACACTTGACATGCAAAAGTTTTAAGCGTATTTCCTTGCAATCCTGCTGAATTGATTGTATTTGGTAACTCACCGGCGCGCACGGTGCAGTCCCTGCTGACGATGACGCCCACAGCGTTGGCCGCGCGGCAGCGGTACGCCACCGCGTGCACGATGGTGCGAAACATCTGCGCGGGGAAGGGCGGGAAGTACAAACTGCCGTTGTCCAGCACCTCCCTGGGGGCAAGGGCAAACGAAAACACATGGTCAGGTCCGGGGCCGACGTGGAAATGAAAATGTGACGCGCCTGCCTCGCCTCTGGCCTGCTACTCGCAGCAACAACGGTAAACACTGCAAAAGAAGTTCGATTTAAAGCAAGCAGGTTCAAAACAAAGAAACATTCGTGATCAATAACGACGCAGCAAAAATAACTCTTTAGACACACTTGATTGGCTCAGAGGCAAATACTGGAGCAAGCCCCCGGTCACCAGTGTCACCCTCTGTTCTGCTGCCTGAAAGTCGAACAACACCTGTGGAGCGGCCGCATGCGCAGCGATCGCTCTCTGTCGACTCGCACGACACTCCACGCGCCGAGGCGCTCGAGCCGCGCGCTCGCGGTGCTCGCGGTCCCGCCAGGTCTCGCTAGGTCGCGAGCGCCTCGCGCGCGGCGACGCGTTTATCACATATTACTGCAGACGGCCCGGGCGGCCGCGGTGGCGTCAAAGGGGTAAAAAGGGAGGGAGGGGGCCCGGGGAAGTGATTGATGGACCAGCGGCCTATTGCCCGCCCATTCCTCACGTTTCCTATCTCACTTTATCTCCCCCATGGCGCTGGCTGGTATAGCTGTTGTCCTCCTCACTCCCCCCGCCTCCTCCCTTTACCCTCTCTTTCTCCCCTACGCGAAAAACGTAAACACCGCTCGCGGCTCACACAACCGACGATAACACCGATACCAGAGCAGTTGTAACACTTGGTGCGAATATCCGTACTAATACGACACTGCGATTGTTCGAATTTTTAGAGGATGAACGGTAGATAGGAACGTAGGTAGGTAGGTAGGCAGGCAGGCAGGTAGACAGGTAGTAGAGATGAGCGAACAGGCCAGTTCGAATTTGAACGAACTCGAACAATTATTGCAATTTGTTATTTGTTGTTGAGTCATAAAAGCAATCTATGTTGGTTTACAATAGTTCCATTCACGTTTAAAATTGTAGTCAATTATAAGCCTGCTACTGCCCCCTTAATTACACCCGCACACGCACCCACATATTACACGTCTTTCTGAAACATACTTCAATTTTGTTCGCCTACGAACTTTTGTTCAAGTAGTACTCGAACATTTCGAATCCGAACACTTCATGTTCGTGTTCGAGCAATCATGAACAGCTCGATGTTCGTTCGAGTTCGATCGAATGCGACCATGTTCGCCCATCTCTAGTAGGTAGTTGGGTGGAAGGTGGGTGGGTGGGTTGGTGGGTGG